TGTTTTTATATTTTTGTGCAAGTTGTATGTAGTACGTATATGGAATGGTAAAAATAGATAACTGCACCGTGCGTGTGATGTTTTAAAATATTCCACATTGTAGCTGAATCAATATTACTTTATCTTTCGTATGGAAAATTCTCTCGGTCTTATACCGTCGAGTTTACTTATGTCGCGATAACTATATATATTATGTCTGTTCCTGGTCATATTATTAGCTACATCACCCATTTAAATGTGGAGAGACAACACGCTGTAGTTGCGTTATTTTTATTCCGCAAGTATATTTGCAAATTGTAACGCTTGAAAAAAAAACGGATAAAAAAGATTTAAAAGATATAAAACGAGAATGTCATTCATCGTATTGTTGGATATATAATAAAATTTCATTGTACATGAATAGAATGTAATATCGCAATTATTTAATTGGTACAAACTCTCGTATATTTTTCCGGAGTAGAAGAACTTATGTTTCCGACTATAAACTGTCTCAATTAGTTGGAAACTGTTACGTCTGCAACGACCAAGAAATGAAATCAAACCTTGGCGCGAGCAGTGTTGTACCTCTCTCGAGAATATACAATACCTCTTTATCTTATTCAGAATGGCAATATCTCAAGTAATTACGCAACACACTTGTACACGTTATATGCAATTTGGTTTGGTATAAATGGCGGGGGTTTACGTGACAGACGTTGATTTTCTTCTACGGCATGAAAATAAACGGCAGCGCGCGATCCCTCCCTCGAAACGCCACCGGTGGCCCTTGCGAAAGGCTGAATAAATGCCGCATATTTTTCATCCTGTAATTCCGAAATACCTCCGCACCGAGATGTTACTTCCGCGCGAACGACCGTATCGCGTATATTATAATTGTGTGCCGGAAATCACGGAGACGGGCGCAGCCGCTATTAAAAATTCAGCCCCGTGCGTGTGTACGCCGCGGGCACGTGTACATAATACCGTTCCCCTCCCCATAAATAATGGAGGAGCTAAAAATGTGCCCGTAATTCGCGCGCGCGACAAAGTAAAGATAGCTCACACGCGATCTTCCCTGCGCATCCTCCGGACAAGATACTCCCGGATCCGTGACGACACTACTCATTTATTTTTCTTACGAGCCAACGGGCGTGCGGAAGTATCCCGACGAGAAAAACGAAAAGGGACGGGAGAGATCAAGAAAAATTGCGAACAATGCGAGACAAGGCGCCCCGAAAGAGAGAGAGAGAGAGAGAGAGAGAGAGAGAGAGAGAGAGAGAGAGAGAGAGAGAGAGAGAGAGAGAGAGAGAGAGAGAGAGAGAGAGAGACGAGAGAGAGAGAGAGA